GATAAGAAACTACTTCAAATATAATAAATACATGATTTCAAATTTCAATTAAATAACTAATAACAATATTAATGATAAAAGGAGTAATTTTTATTATAAGAAATGATACATCATTAGAAAAAAAGTGAAAGATTAAAAAACAATATATAAATTAAAATTGCAGGATTTGCAAAAATAAATTATACAAATAAACTAAAAATATATCACAATATAGAAAATTTTAGTAATAATACCTAACTTTTCTTGATTTTGTTTGTAGATTTAAAAGCCGTTGCATCTTAGACTATTTTCAAATACGTTAATTCTGCTATAAGCATCTGCTAGTTATATAAAGAGTTATATTCTAGTACTGTAATTCCAAGTTCGTAGTACAATTAACACATTAAAATTTTCTAAATGCAATAACTTGAATAAATGAAATATATAATTGATCTGAATTTAACTGTTATGACATTCGATTGTCTGGTATTTTTAATATATTTTTGGAATCATGAGAACGGCCATAATTTTTAACAATAAGAATCGCAATTGTTATTAAAATTATGAGACCCGCAGTTCCACCAAACGTGCCTCCAATAATTGCACCAACGTTACTAGTTGAGGAGGATGGCATTTCAGTAATAGTTGGAGTTTGGGTAGGAGTTTGAGTAGGCAAAATGGATTGAAGCTGTTTGCTAGGATCATATGAGTTAGTCCATTTATAAGAATCCTTTCGGCTTACGTCAAGAAGAAAAATATTATTCGTAACATTAGTGGCAGCATCTGAAATTTAAATATATTAGTTTAAAACTAGAAATTTGCATTTTGAAGATACAAATAATATTGTGCTTACTAAATCTTCCAAATCCAATAAAAATATAAGCACCAACTAAAAGTGAAGCAAAGCAATATAGACTAGTTAGAGAACCACCATCATTTGAAATTGTAGGAAATGACCATATAAATTTCAATGTGTCGAGCGCTATAATTGTGGTAGTTGACCCATAAAATACTAAAATTTGATTATACTGTGCTATATTTTGAATAGATGTATTTATTAATAAAATTAGTTATGACTACGATAATTAAAATTGTAATACTAAAGACATTTATACTACTTACGTATAAAGACTGTTCCATGGAAACATCTTGGTAATGGGATGCTCCCTGATGTAGACTAACAAATAATAAAAATATAAAAGTAAATTAATTAATGCCAGCTAAATATTTATTGTTTAGAGTCTGTTCGAAAATTATGAATTTGTTTATAATATAAATATTATCATAAATAAATAACCACATGTATAAAATAATCTTCAAACTTTCAATAGTTTCTATTTCCTATTACCAATTGGATTATATATGTCTTTAAAAGAGAAAAAAAATTTTAATGCCAAGGAATTTGATTTTTAATGCATTTTGATTGGTTTCTCTAAGACTCTAGCACTATCACTAGGATTTCACTTCAAGATATACTGTTATGCAATCGCTAACTTTGATATATCTTACGACTAAACTCCAAGTATTATCATTCATGTTGTATAATGGTAACTATTTAAAGTAAATAAAGCAAAAACATTAATTAGTGATTTGAACGTAAAAAAACAATGAAACTCATAATTTGCAAACCTTATCCATTGAATCATATGTAAATATGTCTGTAAAACCTCCAATATATAATATAGAAGTATCATTTAAGAGTGTAGCACAATAACCCCTAGGTACAGCTGGTACCATTATTCCAGAA